ATCCACATGACAGAGAGGGGAACACAAAAATGACTCAGCCTGAAACTGAAAATATGGATGGAGGACCTCAGTTTAGCTTCTCATTTCTACCTTCTCTCTGTCAACGCTCTCTGGTTTCATTTAAAAGAGTCGATCATCAGATATTGTCCAAGATTAACCTTCAGGGTGGATATAGCTCGCTAGCAGCCTCGCACCGATGACCTACCCATGTCATCATTTACCCAGAATGCTTTGCATGTAAATAAAATGGCTCTGTTGGTGTTAAAATATATATTTTTAAATGTACAAATCTAAACAGTCTACAGTATTTTTACAGTCTTTATTTTACAGTTAAAATACATGTTTATCAACTAAAGTCTAATGTTACAACTAATCGGGGATCCCTTTAAAGGTATTTTTTTTAATCAAAGGTGTGGTGCAGTGCGTAGATTGAGGAGTATGTGTTCACGAATTTCAGCTACAGCAACACCAAACTTTAAACCAATGTTTATAAAGTTGACTGAGTTTACCTATTTTTTGTGTTTTCTAAGGTCAGTCGTCTGTGGGAACCATTCTAAATTAAGTTGGCACCACCATGGAGGTACATCTTGTGAGTATTTCTTGAAAGTTTTATTAGTGTATTGTTGGTACAGTTCGGTATGATTCCAAGCCATTTCCATTAGGCCAGATTCATGGAACCAGCCCTTTTTTAGTACCTACTTCGTTGTGGTTCCAAGTGGTCCCAGTCGACACCAAAGTGCGACGTCAGAACACTGTTCATCACTGAGTGGAGAAGGGGTGGAGTCACTGGTTGCATCTAAGCTGCCTTTACAACAACAACTCGAGGCGCCATTTTTTCAATTGTAGCAGTGACATTAATCGTGTTTCCATCCAATTTTAATTTTAATTTTTAGCAAGTTTTTAAAATTTCAGAACATATTCGGCAAATGTGTTTCCATCTCTCATTTTGCACGTTAACATTTTTTTCCGAAAAACTCAAAAACCACCCSCACCAACCACCCAAAACACACCCACTGGAACCGGACTGGAACGTCAATGGAAAAGCACCTGAACTGACCCGTTCCGACATTGACCAYACCGACACTACACTAAGTGGCACTAGTGGAAAAGGGGCATTAGATCCTGTCTAAGGGTTCTGGAAATATTTTGCTAACAAACAGACAAAAGTAATTTCTCACAGTTAAAGATCTGATCCAGGGATGGGCAACTTAAATGGTGTCAGGGGCCATCACTTTTGTTGATGCTACCAGAGGGCCACATAGTGCTGCATACTTWGCCAAAAAAATTAAAATAATGCCATTTTAAAAAATGGTTGTGTATGTAGACATGTATGTTTTATTAAACTAACATAGAGTTCAGTAACTTAACATATTTCCTGCTCAAATGTATGTATAACAGTTGTTAATAAATATGAATACAAAACATTTGAAACAAAGAACAATCAAACACTTACTTGTGAGCTGAAGTGCAATGACATGACACCTTGGGTGCAAACTCCTGTGTGGTTCTGGTAAAAAGTTTGTGTACTTGCGATTATAGTAAACTTCTCATATTTAGCTTTGTGCAACGTGTTGTAGTAGCAACTTGTTAAAATCGGTCATGGTGGACAGCGTCTCTAAAACACACAGGTTTGCCTTGAAATTCTGTGAACAGCTAGTCTGCCTTCCCCCAAAAAAGCACTTTAAGCAGCTCTTGGCTTTATATCTTCAGCTAAATCTAAAAGTGTCTGGATGATAAGTTGATGATAAGTAGCTATCACTCTTTGCTACGATCACAGAAGATTTCAGCTCAATATTTCATAAAACAGCTGAATTAAAGCCATTCAGAATTAGCTCTGGCGACCATCATGAACTTTCAAATCCAGAATGCTTTTTTTTAAATTATTTGTATGTGCCACCCTTAAAAAAACCCACCCTGGCCACTCCTGTGGCACCCCTTCCTAAAAACTCTAGCTCCGCCCCTGGAAAAAGATCACAGTGATGAACAAACAGGCATGATGAGGTATTAACATCTGTTTGGAATCCTTGTATCTGGGAAAAAATTTTAACCAATGAATGACATTTTAAGAGCTGGTAACATCTGTTTGAGGGAACTAAATTTACGGTGGACTCAGAGAAAGTCTTTCATATATTCTTAGATTTTTTTTTCTTTTCTTTTTTTAACGGGTGACGTTGAGGGAAGAGCTGTGCTGTTGTCAGGATTTGCTATTAGGTTTGTAAGTCCTCCAAGTAGTTTGTAGTAACAGCTGGGTCTGACATGGAGAGCATGTACAAGGGCAGTCAGTCTGAAGAGAGAGAGAGAGAGAGAGAGAGAGAGAGAGAGAGAGAGAGAGAGAGAG